ATTTTTTCCCAGCACCTTGCACGAGAGCTCCCTGTTCCACATCTAGACCTGCAGATGCTATCGCAGTACCTATAAATTACAACTAGCTGGCAATTACAATGCGGCAAGTGCAACTGTGGGGTTATGAGAGGAGCTTTGCAAAAATATTTATAATGCAGACAGCTGTAAGCAGTTATCGGCAGATATATCTGAGAAGCAGCACCGTTCAGAGGAAAGCAGATGGGACTGTACGGAGATGTTCGTACCAGGGAACATGAGCAGCAAGAGCAGAGGCTTGTTCCACTAGATGGCACCCGGCGCCAGCATCTCATTTTTGGGTGACCAGCAGGAGAAAAATGGGTGACATGCAGGAAAGCTGAACTGAACATAACCTCCCTACACACCTCAGCCCAGGAAAACCAGAACTGCGGATCTTAGCCAGCTCCCCCTCTGAAAACTGAAAACCACGGGCCGTTGAAAACAGAAGGCAAATGTGGCAAAACCAGTAGGGGTTTCTACCCCGAGTTTATCAAGAGGCTGTGAGAAGGTTGAAATAACAAAAAAGGAGAAATTAAATCTGTAAAGTAAATATCCCTGCAGGGATATTTACTCTTTCTTCTACCTCGGGCTTATTTTCATTTTTAAGTAAGATCCCTTGTGTCTATGCCATTGGCACATATTAGTTGTCCTATAGAGAACCAAACTGTGCTCCTACTCCTTATGTGGGGAGTTTACTTCCGCAACAGCTCTCATGGAAAAATGTTGCAGTCCTGCACCCTGTATAAAATACCACTTGTGAACGTATGTGCTAAGGATGTGCCCAAATTGGCTTGTTAAACTTACGGAGAGCTCAGAATGAAATCTGGAAAACGCTGGTATGAGCCCCTTTTGACTTGATACACAGCCTGAATCTGGAGAGTCTGCAGCACACGGCAAAAATAATTAGAAGTTTCCCTTTAAAAAGCAATTTATGCTGGCAGATTAATGTCACGTTACTTAAAAAGTGATGCCACAGATTAGATTAATTGGCTTCCTTATTAGTTAGCCTCAGCAGGGGTGTAGCAAGGGCACAAGAGGGTACAAAGCCTAAACTGTCTGGCTTGCCTGATGAGGCAGATCATAGCCGAGGATGAGGAAGAGGGTAGAGAGAGCACAGGGAAAGTCACACTGTCACAGCCTGTTTCCAGGAGTGAGTGTCTAATGAGCAGGAGGGATATTGTGGAGGGGAGTGAGTTTGTTCACCAGCAGTCACTGCCTCGGGTGCTGATTTGGAGGTATGCCCTAGGCGCCATTGGCACACACCGATGGGGTGTAAAGCTGGTGCCTACTTGCAGAAGAGGACTAATGCATGAAAACAATTTGTAGGAATGGCAAAGGGGTTGTTGCTCAGTGCCAAAGGCTTTTGTCACTCGTGTTATCACCAGGTGGAGGGCAAGCTGCCTGTGGGTTGCAAATTTTGTTGTCACCAAAGGACCTGGAATGTCAAACTGAGCTGAACCTTGTGCTGTGTCAGTGTGCTTGGTCCTGCCCTCAACAATCTTCATCCACACACATCCATCAGAGCAATATTCCTGTGTTAAATATGACATACGTGAATTTTTACCTCTTCATCCAACAGAGGCTCTACTTTCAGTTGATGTATGTCATCACCTGTTACATCATGTTCACCTGCTACACCTGTCCTCTCTCTTCATGCACCACCCTAAAATAGATGCAGAACTCCAAAAGCAACAATAAATGCCCATGTTCCAGGGAAATGGTAATGTGCCACCCTTTCCACCACTCACATGCACTATGATCACCTGAAAGATCAATGCAATTGTTGCTGTGCAATATGGTTTGCAATGCCTGTATATGTACCTACAGCCCAAACCACTTTGTAAACCATATCTGTACCAACACGAAATGAAGCAATCCTTCCAACCCTCCTCCTGCCAGTGCTCGCCTGATCCATCACAGTATCATGCTGTGGGGACACCAACATCTGACACACCTGCGTGCCTTCTGGCACCCTCTCACTTTCCAAATCTTCCCCTTTTACTGGATACTTCTCTGACACATCCAAGCCTCCAACTGCCTGCACCGCGGCTCAGCCAAACAGAGAGCAAGGTGAAACACAGCTGAGTGTTGAAGCTAGGGGGAGCAAGAAGCTGGTTGTCAGGGACGAAGAAAGATCATTCAGTAGTAGCAAACTGCCTGGACCACTGTATTGTTAATTTTTAACATTTCTAATACATACTATGCATGATACTTCTATTTTTTCCACCTTTGTTTTGTCTGGAATAGAACTGTGCTGTCAGTCAAATGCTTTTGCTCTTAGCCAGGTTTACTGCAGATACAAAGCTTATGTGCTCGTGCTGTGTGTTCATCGTGTTGCTCAACACCCTTTCAGCCCACAAGCTAATTTCAGATATGTTGCCAGAAAGATGGAGTTTTCAAAAAGTAAATAAATCCAGTAAGTTCCTGGGGGAAAAAAAAAAAAAAGGCAAAAACAAAGACCACATTGAGGCAGATAAGGAAAAAGACTGAAGAAGAGTGGAGTGTGTCACACTGGGACACCAGAACTTTGACATGGATGATGGTGAGAAATCTCCTAATTCCCATGTTCCAACTGTACGTGGAAACAACTTAACCTCAAGCTCATGATTTTCTGTGGTGAGTCAATCACAAGATACAAACTTTAGGGAAGCAGACTTCACAAGCTCCAGGGCTCACAGATTTTAAAACATGTATGTCTCTAGTACAGATTTTTTTGTACAAAGTATTGTTTCTCTGTTGCTAGGTAGAAGCCAAAGAAAGTTATTTCAGCTTTTTGTTGTTGTTTGGTGTTTTGTTTTGTTGTTTTTTTGTTTCTTTGTTTGTTTTCTGTTTGGGGTTTTTTGTGTGTGTGTATGTGTGTGGACAGGTGTGCTGAGACAAATCCTTGAGGAACACCTGAATGTAACTAGTATTTTTATGTGGGAAAAATGCTGAGAGATGTGTTTATACCTTGCCATTGAATCTGTACTTCTCTATCGTTAAACCCACAGGTTACTGTACCAAAGAAACTGGATTGGAAAAAGGGCATGGGCCTCGAAAATGTAGGTGTTGCAATGTCTGACTTTTAGGACTTTTGCCCTTAAAACATCATTCCTGTGTTAAATAGAGAGGTCCCCTGAGGACTGCCCGGTGGGAAGGCTGCTGATCCACTGTACACAGGCATAGTGGGAGTTGCCTACAAAAAGCAGTAGGAAACACTGAGCACACAGGCATGGCCAGGGTCCTGCTTTCTCTCAGGGGCAGGCACCTGGCCCACGGATGCAGAAATCAACAGGACTTTAGGACCTGCCTCAGTGTTTTCCTAAGTCAGAGACACAGTAATCCATCTAATACGGTGGTATGGGTGAGAGAGAGTGGATATAAACTGAAAGGGGAGGTTCAGACTGTGTATAAGGAGAAACTTTCTCCCCACGAGGACAGTCAGGCAGTGGGACAGGTTGCCCAGCGAGGCTGTGCAGTCCCCATTCCTGCAGGTTTTCAAAACCCAAGTGGATACAGCTCCGAGTAACCTGCTCTAAGCAGGAGGTTGGACCTTGGAAGAGCCTTTCCAGCCTGAGTTATCTGGTGATCCTATGATCACCCTGTGTATAAACCAGGCAGAATTTTTTAAACTTCGCAGGTTTTGCCAGCTATTGCAAAGACACAAAACATCTCCTACCTGTTTAGCCATAAGGTATAGAAATAACAACTTAGTGATGAAGCATAGCAAGTACTGAAATTATATGTTTTATAACCAGAGCCATGTGCAATGTTCTAGAGAAATGGCAGAGCACAATGATATTGTCCCTTTTTACCGTTCCCACACAGTTATCACCAATATGGTACTTAAAACACACAACCAGGCAGCAGCTTCCTGGCTTTTAGCGTTGTATTTACTGACAACGATTTGAGGAATTTTGCTGTGCAACTTATGCATTTCCATTGGTGCTACGGAAATGTCACTCTGAAACACCATGTATCATCATATACCTACATGTGTCTTATTGGTATGGTGGCGTCCCATTCCTGACCAGTTGGGCCAGTCCTTAAAGTATATTAAAAAAAAAATCTTTTAAGGGAAAAGCAGGTAGAAACTATGGGCTAAACTACAGAAAAACAAGATAGGCGAGATGAGCTGCAGGGTGATGGAGTTGGAGCTGCAGGTAACCTGCAGTGCCACAAAGACAAAGCTGAGAAAGGGGTATTTAAAAAACTGCAACTAATCAAAGCTAAAGAAGGATCCCCTCAAACTAATTGATGCCTATGTTAAACACTGAGCCTACCTGAGGACCTCCAGTGGACAGGGGGACCTAAATGAAGAGGCATTGTGTGATGGAAGTTTATTACTTGTAACAATATATAACCTTTCAGGTTACGTGCTTTAGGTAAAGCAATATGCTTTCATTAAGTTTAGAAATGCTGTGTAAAGCCTTTGTGGCATTCTTGTTTGTCTGCACTTACCTCACACTCTCTGAAAAAATAAACTATAAACCCAAAGGCTCATAGCTTCCGTATAATTGTGAGTGCATGCATCTAAGCAGCATCAGGATCCGGGGAACAGACTACTGGTCTATCTGCCTTCAGATGGGATGCTAGAGAGAGCACTTGTATTAAGGGAATCTGCCAAGAGACCCAAAACTAAAGGGCGATGCCTCAATTCTGACCAAATTTAAGGGACTAAACACCCCTGGATAGATCCTCTGACAGTGCTCTGGTGAGTGGCCAACTGCAGATCTCAGCCAGACGCCAACGCATCTATATTCTAGCCAAAAACTTGAAAACTGGAATATGAAATTCATGTAGTCTGACTCTCCAGGGAAGCTGAGTACTTCTGTTTCCAGACTATGTCATCTTTTGTACAACACACAGCTCAGTGGATGCTGCAGCTAAATGCCAGACCATTGCAAAGGGCTGTCACAGGAAACCATTTGTCACGATACACATTATTTTGCAGAATTCTTAATGGCTGAGTTTTAAAATGAAGACATTGAAAAATTGCTTACCCATGAGGTATTTTGCTGAGGACATAATATGCCGTATATGAATGCTGATACACCTGCAAAACAAAATTAAGAAAGAAAACAAAACAAAAAGAGATTAGTAATTGTCACCTGTGTTAATAGGGCTCCTTTTCTGCAAAAACAATCTAGCATTTATGGCTAGGGAGCTCTTATAAACACTTCAAAATCTGTAGTAGAAAAGAACAATACATTAATTCACCTAACGCTTTTGTGTGGTCTTTTCATCTTGCACTTTATTACAGTGTTTGGCAAATCGTATACATCCAGATGCTCTGTGTCGTTACCATGACTACCAAGTCTTTGATTAAACTGGGGGCACATGGTCTCTGCAAGGGCTAAATATAGAACAATCATTAATGAGGACACCTTGGTCAGCTGGAGACTTTCTCCATCATTATAACTAGACACAACAGGGATATAATGCGTATTTTTTTGCTTTATTCCCACATAAATAAAACAGGGAGTGATTCTGGGTGATCTCAGAGCGGGTTGTAAGACCTCTGTCAGTCAGCAAATAAAACCTTATTGACTTAGGGCGTAAAGCTGACCTCACATTTGTTTGACCTGCTAAGTTGCATCTTCATATCAATTTGCACTCTTTGGGCCTTGGGGAGGAGCTTGTCAGCTTGCATGGCAGGACACCTCCGAAGGGAGAGTTTATTACTTATTTTCTAAGTAGTAAATAATAATACCAGAGTCCAGGTCTGCAATGTAAGAGTTGGTGATTTTCCGCTAGTGACAATGCAATCCCTAACAGCGATCTGTGGTTGCCCAAGGTGAGCAATGCTGAGCAACACCAGAGTCAGGGCACTGGTGTGAAAGCTCTAAATATGAATGACTTTATACACATTTATACAGGCCCTCACTTTTGCAATTCTGTCCTGCTACTGTATGCTACTAAATAAATAAGTCTCCTAACAATCATTTCATTTGACTTCTACTTAAATCTTTAAACCACTTGCTCTGCAGTAGCTCTCATAAAGCATCTTGTCCCAGAGGACAGAGGAACTTCTTGAATACTTGCTTCACTAACCAAGTTTGTCTGACCAAAATTATTTTTCCTAGGTACCTCTGTTTTTGCACAATTACTTTTTTTACTTATGCCAAGAAGCCATGAGATGTCCTGGATGGTGCTGCCAGCCTCAGCAGTGGCCATCCCAAGCACATCGCTAGCATCACAGACAAGTAAGCATGACTTACTACTACCTGTCACTCTCGAGGGCAAGCCTGCATACTGGCTTACATCTTTTGGGGGCTCAGTAGAGAGGCAGATATACACAAGGCATATCATCCTGTAGATATTAAAACAAACTTCTATTACAATTTGAATCCAAGCACTAAATCCTTACACTACTGCATGAACCCCCTGAAAAAATCTACCACCAGAGTACAGAGGTGAAAGCGCTGGCTTTCTACCTATGAAATGCAGAGACTGATGCCAAATTGATGTGATTCCCTTCTTCCCCTGTGCAATTCACTCCCTTCGTTACACGGACATCACCAGGTTACATCCCAAAATCATACCGCCTTTTATGCATTCAGATACATAAAGACTCCTCCAGCAAGGTGAGTCTCTGGTGTATTGATATCAGGGAAGGTCTAGGAACACAAGGGAATTCACTGCAAGCTAGCATTTATTTTAGTATAGGTGTCCTTTTTAGATCCACCTGTTTCAGATGATGTAAAATAAATTAACATTATCTCATCTACATCCAGTCATAGCAAAGAGCTCTGGAATCTTATAATGCTGATATCAGAGACCTGGCTGATGCATGTGGCCTTAGATTTTATTCCAGCTTTGGTGAAGTTCTAAAACTGCTAAAATTCCTTAAAGGAAATGCACTGGAAGACTAAATTTGTCTACAGAGCTGAAAAACCTAATAATACATTGCCATTAAATACTGAGCAACTTTTGCCTTCAAAAATCCTGGCAGTAGGATGTAGAAAATGATGTAGATGTATGAATTGTGATCTGAGGCTAGGACTGGTGTTCAAGGTAACAAGCCATGCTGCATTGTCAGCCACCAGAGGCAGAAGCCAGCCCCCAAAATGAGTACGAACAGATGCCTTCAGGGGAAAATAGAGAAATGTGGCAGGCTGGAGGGCAAAGAAACAGCCAGGGAAGTTTTGAGCAGGACATCTGCTGATGTCCCTGCTTGTGGTACAGAGTCCCCACAGCCATGCTAGAGAGTTTAGAGCTGTCTTAGAGCCATTAATGGAGACTGAGGTAAAACATTTTCTTTGCCAAGAGAGTTTAGGAGTGGGGAAAACAAAAGTTGCAGGACTCTCAAAGAACTCCTTTATTTTCTGAACATCATTTGTCATCCTCTTGGGTCTTTGGCCAGACTCTAAATTATCTCACATCAGCTATGCCTGGTGCCCGTAGCATGTAGTCTTCAAAGGCTTGCAGCTGGCAGTGTCTATTTGCAGGAGCAATCCTTTCTCAAATAAATCCTTAAAATCAGTAGCTTTTCTCATGTAAACAACAACTATTTGTATGAGCAAAAATGTCAGGAGCAGACTTTTATTATTATTATAGTTCTTAAGGACAAGAGCGCATGCAGCTCAAAAGTCCTTCTCATTCCTACTGTTTGGAAAACACACTGCGAGCAACCCTCCTAAGCAGACAGGAATCCAAGAGACACATCACTTAATGTCTTTCTGAGAAATGAAATGGCTGCTTTCCTCTTAGATATGCAAACCAAACGAAGTTATTTTAACTTTTTGAGAGGATGACTATGTCTGCTTAATGTCTCAGCTAAAATTTCTGCGGGGGTCAAGCTGAATTAGGCTATTCACTTACCAGTAGAAAAACCTCACACCAGGGAAAAGTGCAGGAAAGAGATGAGCATTCTTCTGAAATCCAAAGCTAAGCCTCAGAGACTGGACAGTGCTTAAAAGTTAGTATTCATTTCATTTAACCTCCCTCTTTCTGAGGCTTAGCCAACAAAAATAACTCTATTAACTCTCTGTGTTCCCCTTCTCTATCCAAGGGGTGTGGTAAAAGCCATTGCACTGATCTGATGCTCTTAGCCCTGATTTTTGGCTGGATCCCAGAAGCACACAGCTCCTCTCAGTAGAGAGGCATATGGTAACAGAGTTTTTGGCAATCGTTTTGATCTGTAGACCCTACATGCCAAGTCACCCCACCAGCATAAGTTAAAACAGGTTTGAGACTGCTCTGAAGGGTTCTAGGTATTACCAAAATTGGGTCACAAAAACTCCCATGCCAGCTGCGACCAATGAGTGTGGTAAAAGTCATTATACTAAAACCACTGTGCCAGAAACACTCTCCCATTGGGCTTCTCATCCCAGGTCACAGCACAGAACTCGCTTACTTTCAATCTACATTATGATCTGCAACGTGCATGTTTACACTGAAATCGGAAAGGGTCTAAGAGACAGAGCTATCTGTTTCCACTTAAGTCTTGGAAAGACAATTATCTCTCTAAAATTCAGAAAAATACAGGACTAATTATATATGACAACACTTTGTTGTGAAGCCACTGACCTCATTTTATGTAATCAACAGAAGAAACCTGGACCTGACCAGATGACAGCGGAAATGCAAACACTGCAGCACATATAGCAGCAGGGAAGAGCATCCGCCTCTTACCCACCGCCAGATTCTGAAATAACAAGTAAATTGTGGTTCCTACAAGCTACAGAAACAAAGTGGAAGAAGCAATTTCTGTGCCACATCACTGCAGAGCAAAGTATGGTGTGAATGGTAGAGTAACGTCTCCTTGAAAGCATTTGCTTCATCTCCAAGGATAGAGGTCCTAGTCCAACAGGGTTTACTTAAATAGAAAATATATGTTATTTAAGAATAGAATGGATTTGGACTCATTTATTCATTGTGACTATTCATATACTTGAAATTAGAATCCATAGCTCTTGTTCTCGCCCCAGAGCAACTGCACAAATACCTGACATAAGTCCAAAAAGACAGGCAGGATTCTGGTTACCTCCCTACACCTCATCTGGTTTGTCACACAGACACAAGCTGGACACACAGAGCCTTCACCTTCATTAACTTCTTGTTAAAAGTTTGAAATTGTCACCATTATTTTCAATTTGGCACTGCCTGTGCAACTCACAAAGGATTAGGAAAAGGTTTTAGATGGAAATTAGGGAATTTTTAGGATACTGTGAAGTGTGTTTTCAGCGTATTTTGGCTGGTATGAAAGATTACACTACCTGCTGAGGATTTATCACTAGCATCAGAAAAAAAGGAAGAGTTTAGTTTACACTTCCATCTTCTGTGCTGGTTTCTGTCACACTTTGTGGACTGATATCATGCTAGCACCAGCAGTAACCAGCATTTATCGAAAAGTTTTCTTTTATGTTTGTATGACAAGGTGCTGAATCAATACAAACAAGAGGCACATGCAGACTTTCTTTCAAGGAGGTTTACAAGCAAAGAAGGGGGGGAAAAGCCCTTAGAAGAAGACTCCCCAAATCAGCACAAACCTCTCATCTTCCAACAGGCTGTTCTATCAAAACAGCTAATTTAGGGTCTTACCACTCAGCATATTAAACAGTTCGCTGATCTGAGATTAAACCCAGGTGGACTGGCTGCCATGGTCTCATGATTATTACTTACTTGATAAATACAGGAATAAAACATCCTTTGCATCTGTTATCTAAATGACTCCATAGTACTCCATGCAGTAGTGTTATTTACATTACAGAATTATCTAGAAAACTCACCAAAAAATCACATAAAACTTAGAGTTTGAAAGGGAACAGCTACAGGGCAGTAGAAGTGCTAGCTGTGTTATAAAGCAGTTTGCAAGGCTTAATACAAAATTTCTAGTATTTAGTGTCTTTCTTCTTTTTCAGGAATCACACATTTCATCCAAAAAGTCATCCCAGTACCCCCAAATAAAAATGAACACTCTAAATAGTCATCGGAAATAAAACTGTACAACAGTTGGCTAAAGTCTGAAAACAGCAAGAGTATATTTTAATGTAATTTATCACAAAGCACTCAGTAGTTATCTGGGTAAAAGGAATCACTTTTTATTCTGTA